TCTCAAACAAACTAACACCACAACATTCCAGCACCACTGTCACCACCTCCAGCAAACTACCACTTTCAACTTCAAAACCACCACTGCCAACAATAAGATTCATCGTCGCCCCACCAACAAACCCACAGCCACCACCAGATCCAACATAATCGTTGCTACCCAAACACCACCACCACCACAGCCCCCATCCACCAACTGAAAACACAACCCAAAAATCTCACACCAGATCGCAGCGGTACAAATCCCGACCATGATGCTAGCCAATCCCGACCATATCACAAAAATAACCACCACCATTCCACACCAGATCGCTACGATTAGGCGCCGTCACAGCTCGACGGCACGCTACGCAAAGCTGCCCCCCATACGTGGGCAGAAGTACCGCGTTGCTGCTGCGAGAAAGCGACGACTGCCCCTTCGATGCCGCGCCTCAACGCCGGAGTGCCATCTCGTCGAAATGGAAGAGAGAGTAAAGAAAATAAATTAGGTAAGTGATTAGGGTTTTGGTTGGGTGGTTATATATGCATATTAATTTGATTTTGTAATATAATTATTAATATTAAAATTTTTAATTATAACCTGATTTTTGAATAAACAAACTTTGGATATGATTTTTGAAATTGGATCTTAAAACATATGAATTAGTGTAATTTCCTCTTATTATAATATGTTTTGAGATTTAGCCCATGTTTGACATCCATTAAATCAAAACTTTTTTGTTTCAAATTCATTTTCAAGCATACATTCATACAATAAAATATTTTGTATGTAAACCCAAAATCTTTTCCTACTTTAAAACTACACATTCTTCAAAAACCACTATTCTAAAGCTTATTTTTCCCAAAAATTTCATTATAATGATTGTCAAAGAGGGTAATGTAAATTGTAAAATGTTAGATTGAGACTGTTTATGTCGAAATTGATACCATAAAAGAGTATTCCATACTGGTGATGTAGTATATAACATTAGAAAATGAAAATTGCTAAAATTTTGTCCACCTTACAATAGTATATTAGACTTTTTGGCTACCGTATCTGTTTCTGGTAAAATGAATTAATCGATGTCTTATTTTATAAATTTTATTAATAACATTTAGAATGTCGACGGAAAATGATTTTGGAAGTGAGCTTAAAGCAATTGAACTATCATACAGGTTTGTTCAACAAATCACCGATAAGATTATACTAGTTGAAATTGCAAGCATGTTGCTTTTAGAGATCTACAATTCCCCCTTCCTACGAAAAGCAGGG